AAATTCCAGAAGGGGGGAGGGGGACGAGAGAAGGGAAATATTATGCCTTTCTTCAGTCCCTTTCTCTATGTATACCGTTCAGCGATAGAATCAAATGCTAAAGTTTCCTTAAACGATCTGACGACGAAATTATTGACAAAAACTCAAACCAATATTTCTATATCTCATTTTATTCTCAGCTAATCTACCGAAAATCAAAATTCGTATTCGCTAACTCATTCTTCCTTCCTGCAAAAACTCCTCGTCCAACTCTCCCGATCAATTTTTATATCTTAATGTTCAATGTGACGCGAAAGTAGTAGCAAATTCTTAAGCTATTGAAAAACAATAAATAATGAAAATTGAACACAACAAAAACAATCCGAACTGATCAACGTTCAATATCAACTAACATTTTTGATTTGCCTCGAACAAATCGCACATTTCCCAATGCAAATATATTCTTCGATCAGCTGTGGAACAAGCGTCGAAGTTTTCTCCACCAATCCACGTGCAATTCTCATATGTGCCGGTAACTGCATTTCAGCAGGGAAATTAATTTCACACGCCTTAAAATTATGGTCCTTTTTTCCTTCAATCGCTTTCTCTCAAAGCCAGCCATAAGATTCCACGAAACTAGGTGATGCTCATCCAAAACAACGCATTCACGAATAATTAATTAATATTCGACTAATCGATAAGACCGACAACTCAAAAATCATTGGCTCATGTCACTAGTAATCGAAAAAAATTTGAAGGGGTTTCATAGCTGTTCGAAGGACACACCAGTCAAGCTTATGAAATGAAAAATCAAGATTAGCAGCGATAGCTTATTGATGAAGTTAACTATTCTAAAATATTCTAAATTCTGATTTGGACAAACAATCGAGGAAATAAAGAGTAAATACATTTGAATAATTGAATTCATAGATAAATAAGTGGACAAACAAGCAAACGCACAAAAAAGGAACAACAAACCGGTAATAACCACCGAAATGTGAGCGCAAGTTTTCGCCACGGATCCGAATTCAACATATGCAAAACGATGCGAATTCTGAATTCGAAAGCACTCTCTTTTTTGCCCTTCTTCAACGTCAGTAAACGCAATCGACGAGACTTTTCTGGGTTCTGCCATGCCCATTCGAATCGCAGCGCTGACACACTGTTTGGAAAGCCGTGGATTATGCACACCATATCCCTTCAACAAATTATTACTGCTATCATTTTCACTATTCTTTCATTTTTAGGTTATCATTTCGCTTGATAAATTCACCAGAATATACGCAACTTGACCGCTGTGCTGTATACATATTCTCGTGGAACAGCTTAGTTCTCAGAAATCAAGGAATTCACTGGGGTTAATTACTGAAAGCTGTTGATAAATCGAAAATAGTTTGTAGACAACTTGTTAGGCTTCAAGCAAATAAAAAACACAGCTTTTGGTCGTTCGTTCCTCAATCATTTCAGTCTTGTCTAATCTCACAACTCGATTCATTTAAGACAAACATACTAACAGTTGATAAAGTCAACGATAACAACATCAAAACAACAATTAATATAGCAATGAAGGATGTCTTAATTCATCTGTTCATTCAATAAAATATGAGTGTAATAAATCAAATCGGGATCAAATCTGGATTGGCCAGGCTATCAAACGTTTATAACGTTGCTGGCCACAATGCTCACGTTTCCGTGCACATTGTTTTAGCTTCAACCTACGCCACGCCGCCGCAGAGTGTGATAAATAGAAATAAGTAAACGAGATTNGAAATAATTACTAAAAGCTGTTGATAAACCAAAAATAGTTTGTAGACAACTTGTTAGGCTTCAAGCAAATAAAAAACACAGCTTTTGGTCGTTCGTTCCTCAATCATTTCTATCCAGTCTAATCTCACAACTCGATTCATTTAAGATAAACGTACTAACAGTTGACAATGTCAATGGTAACAATATCAAAACAGCAAATAATATAGCAATGAAGGATGTCTTAATTCATCTGTTCATTCAATAAAATATGAGTGTAATAAATC